AGCCAACTTTTTATTCAACAAAAGTGAAAAATGAAGATGTCATCTAGAATAGGCTCTTGCTTGATTTTGAATAATTCTAATATTATTTGAGTAAAACTAAAATCCCAGCACTCACATTGAAAATACACTGTCCCACCTGTCAGATGCTTTGGCCTTGGTAGCACTATAGGTGAGTTTAGAACTGTACCAGATTCAGTCCTCACTCAAACTTGAGAAACATTGTTATTGAGTAGTTTGATAGTTGTTGGCTTCTTAGTTATATTGTTGATATCACTTTAAAGGCTGTTGACACAGAATAGGTTCAGATTTGTGGCGAAAGGCTCCACAGTGTTAACCACTCACTAAAGGTCCTAATGTAGGCCCATCTTTAAATGCTTAAAAAGAAAATGGGAAGAAGTAAAAGAAAAAATATCCTACCATGACTTTGATTCTCTAAGTCTCCTAGTCCTTCTGACTCTTTAGTTGTGAAATGTGAAGAGGTAGGACAGTAAACACAAGGATCGATAAGCAGTACTTTTGATTTTGCATACATTATTTTTAGGCTTATGCCTTAAGGACAGTGTTGGGTTCTGCTTCTCAAATGTGAAAATGTGCCGTTTGATTATACCATCCTCAGATCTAGGATGTTTTGATGTGTATTTTTAACCAGTTTATGATGTTGAAAAGGCCAAATAATCAAGAAAACTATCAGTGACAATGGAAATAATAATTAGCTGCAGTCTTAGACTCTGCATAAAACAGAAGCATTGTTATACAGTATCTTACTAAAGCCATTTTCAGACATGACCTCTGGGTAAAATCAGGAGCATTGGCTAGTGAGTTTACCCAGAGTCTGCCACAGACCCGTTGACAACAGCAACATATCCTCAGCATTATTCAGGCGAGAGGTGGAGCAGCTGGGTACAGGCAGGCAGAGGCAGGAAGTGAAATATTAACTCTGCTGCGTAGATCACGTAATTTGTTTACAGTACCCCGACACTGTCATCCGCTCTTATCACCATAAACTCTCTAGACATCTTTGTCTGTGTCTTCTACTGGTATGTCACTGTTTTTTTACCAGGAGATATTGTGTTTTCATACGGACTTTACACTAGGAGGAATAGAAACTGCAGAGCAGTGCATGTCTGAAAGCTACATAAGTCACTGGGGTCATTACCGAGCCGACTGTCCACCCCTGTTCACCTCGTCTCCCCTGTTATCCCTGTGACACCTTTCACTCACTGTGTCTATAGCCCTTGCTCTTGTTGACACAATAATAAGATTCAATGCTACGTCAATAGTATTGCAAAATAACAAAACCTTCAGTTCTGCAAGCAATCCACTATATAAGTTATTACGTTGAAGTCAAACACTAGAGGTAGACATTTGCCGACTGCCGCAAATATACATACACAA